GACATATCAGCTTGGGCTCAACATCGAGAGTTTGTTCATGAAGTTTTTACAGGTAAACATCTGCCACAAAACTTAACCTTAGTGCTCAGAGAGCAAGGACGGCAATGTCCTTCCAACATATTGGTATATCAAGAGTTGCAAGTTATCATCAATTTCCTGGGACCTTTTATTACAGCTTTAAATATCCTGTTTATCTCTTTCCACATGGCCTCAGCCGAATCAACCAAGTTCGAAACTGTTTTGTACACTTTACAGTTTCCATACTATAACTTTTAATACAGTATGTATATCTTCACAAAATTTGGCAGACTTTCAGTAAATATTACAAGACTTGTATACAAAAAATAATTTTTTAATTACATATTTTTGATAAAGATTTGTCTGTGACTATAGAGTAGTTTTGTTTACTAGTCCACGTAAAAAAAGTGATTTTCATGTTTATTCTAGAATGAAGATACTTTTATTCATCTGAAAAAAATTTCAAATTTCATTTATGTAATCTTTAAAACCTCCTAAAAAACTATAAAATGTTATTTTTCAGTAAAATTTTATTTTTGAATTCTTGAAATGGTTGAAACTGTTTGACTCTGCAAAACACAGTGAATTAATAATGACAATGGTATGGAATTTATTAAAAGACATTTTCCATGTATCACTGGAAAATATAAATTCATTATAAAAAATTTGCCAATAATCAATACTCCCACACAAAGATATTTGAAAAAATTGTGTTCCTTCAAGTATAAAGAAGATCTCTACAATCACTTTATAATCACAAAAAAAAAGGTAAGAGCTCAGAAAGAAAACATGATACAACTCTCTGTTGGAAAATGGGTGATTACATAGCAACAAGTAAAACAGATTAAAGATAACATAGAATATAATAAATTTAAACAGTCATTGACTGTACAATTATGATAAAAGAACACATTCGATGATGAGGAACCCACTTTGAGACTAATAATGGTTGGAGACGGCTTGAATGGGTAATGAAGAAAAACTTTAATATAAGTTTAACATAAAAGCAAATGTACAATGTTTCAATATGGTTTTGTCATCATCAGGTACAAGTAATTTACAATGACACAGATATATATGTATATACACAGTATTGAACAAAGAGGTCACATGACCAGATACTGTTGCAAAACTTAGAAGAGGTATCTTGGCACCCCGGGGTGTTGCTTTAGAGTAGGGTTGTTTTGTTCAATTAAGATGGATTCCTTGAATTTTCGTTTGTTGATGTTGGGTGTTTGTTTAAAATGACTGTGTTTTTAATAGATATACTATGGTTTTTTTAGTTGCAATGGTGAAAAACATGGGACGGTTTTTTATTGTGTTCTGTCAATCTGGTTTCCAATTTTCTTCCTGTTTCTCCTATGTAGAATTCTGGGCAGTTATTGCATGTTATGACGTTGGTATTGTGTGATTCTAAACGATTTTAATTTAGGGCCGAGTTTTTGTGAGAATTTGACGTTGACAGGAATATTGTGTTTACTGGCTAGTTTAGTCCAAGTGTGGATAATTCTTGAGCTCGTTTCAGGTAAACTGCAGTGTAATGTACTATTGTTGGATTTGTTAGTGTCAATTTTGTTCGTGAGTTGAGTTTTATTGTG